TCACTAATTCATTATTTTCCAACAAAATATTATTTAATTAATGAAAATGAGAAATTTAAAACCACAATCCATTAGTTCTTGGTCTATGAAGATGCTTTGTTACTTGTTAGGTGAAGCTTCTTATCTATCAATCTTGCCCAGCAATGGAGAGTGGTTTTCCCTCTCATCAAAAATGGCTTCTAGACAGGTTTTCCTCTTTTCTTTCTTACCAAGTGTTAGATAGCTTTGTTATGTAGGTTTATGCACCCTCAATGCTACAGTAATGACTAATGTTCTCTAGTCATATTAGTTCCCCTTCATGGTGGTAGACAAACTGTGATATGAAGAATGTGTTTGACCTTACAAAAGTGCTGGAGATGAATATTAGTGAACTGTTTCTGTCATCGGCATGTGTCCTCTTTTAGTTCTCGAGGACTTGAGCAGTAAAATCAGGCATATGCTGGCATTGAAGTTGCTTTTCCGTCTTTCCTTATTTTTTTCTCACCTTCTCATTTTATTTCGTTGCATCGTTAGCAGCATACTAATTCCAAATATAATTGGGTTTGTTAGATTAACCAGATAGATGCCAAAACATTGTGGAATTTTAAGCAATCCGATCAATTTCTTTGGATGTGCTAGAAACTTTTGTCCATGTATTAGGGGATTTAATGCCTGTATTACATGATATATTCAAGAACTTATGTTTGTCTTTTTTGGGGTTTGCTTCTCCTTGTTCCTACAAGGGAAATGTTTGTAAAGGCTCTAGCTGGAAAGTCTAAGATGGATAATTATTTTTGCTTGAAGTATATAGCATCATTATTCTGGAAAATCTGATTTCTGTTTCTTCCAGTAAAAACATATTTCCATATCCAGTCTGTGATATTCGTTCTTCTTTGGGCAATATTTTGCTCCCCTATCGCCCTACTTCTTTGTATTGGTTACTAAAATACCCTGCCTAGATGATCAGTATAATATCGTTGAACTGTTCACTTTTTTTTTGTCTTGTCTTAAATGTATTTAGGAGTGAATCATGTTTTATATACAGAGGTTAAGGATATGATAGTAAATACCCTTTGGGGTTACAATTAAACTTGTAAAAAAATCAGTCGTTGAAGGATTTTTTATCGTAATTTAGCAAATTTAAATTGGCATTTTACAGAAGAAGAATTCAAATCTAAGGGATTTAAATTCATGATTTTCTCCACGTGTTATTGTCTTATCAATATACTAAGAAATGAAGTTGGAGAACCACCTGATAGGCTGCTTGACTCACTGGAATGGTATTATCTCAACCCCGTTCAGGTTGTCAAGTGGCTAAAGCAACTTGGTACTTGATGCCTTTTGCACATTTAAACCCCTGTTTGGGAGCCATTTTCTTCCCAAAAGTAGAAGAAATATTACCGTTGCAAGCTGGGCAGCCTACCATGTTTGACTGCCGTGTAGTGGGGTCCGGGTGTGTGGAAAATAACGGTACAAAAAATTCTAGAAATGGGAAAAGTATGGCTCCCAAACAGAGGCTTATCGTTGTCGAGCGGTTATATTGAATCTTTCTCGACATATAATACATTGATTATTGGTTGAGGAATGAAGCGTTTCAAGAATGTTGTCATTGTTTGACCTCATTAAACATCCAATTATGCTATGCTTGTCCCGTAGATTGCTTTATTCTTTTCAATAACATTATGATTTGTGGATCATGCTGACTGCTTTGCTTTTCGCTTTACTCTTTGAAGCATTAAAAAAAAGAAAAGCTGCCTACTTGTTTTTTGCACTCGACATTGTAATATTGAGTATATCATTCATTCTTTTTTATTTCTTTCCTTATTTCCCTTTTAGGAGGCCTGGTGAGGAGAGTGATTCTGAGTCATCTAGGGAGACAAGTAGTGCTGGCAGCAGCGATCGTGAAGCAGATAAGCGATCCAAATCCATAGTTGATGAATGTCGGCCTCATCAGAATACCAAGCAACTGAACAGGCTGTCAGCGAGAGATAAATTTGTCAAAAGTTCATCGAGTGATGAAGCTGAAATTTCCAATTTGCCTGGATTATTCTTGTTTGAATACTTAGAACAAGAACAATCGCATCTACGCAAACCACTGATTGATAAGGTATATTAACTTGAGATTAAAATATTGAATTAGCAGCTATTGATTTCTATGATCTGGCGAAGGACCTCATTTGAATATTTTCCCATAACCCTGCAGATTTCTATTTTTTGCATCCCAATTTACTGAGCTGAGATAGTGTAGGAGCTGTGATCTACTCTCTGTTGGAAAAAAACTGAGTTGGTAGGCT